GCTCCATACACCGACAAACAAAATCTGATCTTTATGCTTGTATAATACTGAAATCTATTTTGTATTGTAATCAGATTAGTGCCACAAAATTTCTTATTTCAATATTCAAGCTTCCAGGTTTTTAGTCGGGAAAAATCCGATTTCTGGTTCCAGCTACAACTTGGAGTCTTGTGTCCCCGCTAGGCACCAGTACGATTTCTATACAATTTCAGGATTTTTAAAGACAGAAGTTTTGAGTTATAGTCCACAGTCTAGGTGTTCTTTGTGCTTACAAGGTAACTTACACCACCTTGTCAACTCAGATTTTGATGAAAATTTCTGGATAGGATAAGAATACCCTATCTAGACACTTTAAAACATTTTAGAGTCCGCTCGTCAGTTTCAGCAGAGTCGTATCTGTTACAGTACCAACATCGAATTTCCAGTGCAGCAATTGTAATTTTCAAAGATGATTTTCTCAATTTTTAGGACGTTATAGGATATTAGACCTGTTGTTTTGTATTTAGACATTCGTGAAATTGTTATTTTTCAGACATTTTCTCAAAAAAATATTTATTTGAAATTTTCAAATTCTTCCATTTATGTCGAAGCAAATGTTTTAGAGAAAATGTCGGAAATATAGAAATTCGTTGTGTTCTAATTATAATAGAACAAATTTGATAATATAAAATGTCCTGGAAATTGAGAAAATTGTCTTTGGAAACTGCGGTTTTTGCTATAAAAACGCGATTTTTGATACTGAGAATGATACAAGTCGGCTGAAACTAGCGAGTGGATTCCAAAGTTTCCAGAAGTTTCTGGATATGCTATACTCAACCTATTGTGAAATTTTCATCAAATTCTGGGGTTAGGAGGTGTTGAGGTACAGTATTCAGTCTTAATTGGTTTTGGCCCATTTTTCAATTCAAATTTTTAAGACCTCTAACACTTCCTGTTTCTTAGGTGGATGAGACATTGTTGTGATTTAAAACAGAACTAACTGGTAGACAAAAAACTAACATTTCTCATTTTTCTTGAATGTTATTCCAAAACATTTGAAATTGGTAAATGAGATGTGAACATTTGGTTATGATTCATTTTAATGAGCACATTCTTCTAACATCCTGCAGTTTGTTGTTGGTGCTGGTGGCCGCCATATCCCTCTAAGTTTTGAAGATCGCCACCATTCTTAATAAACATCAAACTTCGAGAAAGGAGTGCGGAGCGCCAAATCTCTCAGAAGCTTTGTCTTCTTACAATCAGAAACTTGAAATCCAACGAAATTTATGGAATTTTTCAAAACCCCAGAATTTCATTTTCCCCACCAAGTTTCCAGTAATAGACCCTCCCACCCAGACAATAATTAGTTCCGGTTCTTGATTATTTCCCAAGTGTGATTCCTGGTTTCTAAGCGGCGATCATTGAGGAATCCAGGAATTTCCTCAATTGTCTACCGAGGGAAATTGACTCAATTTTCCCACAGCGCTCGTGGTATTTCACGTTTTTTTAACCGTCGTTTTATGTTTTTGTTGTGGCTGTTAATTTAATTTTACGTTTGAAGAAATGAATGAAAATTTTCTTGGGCCGATTACCGGGAGCTTATGTAAGTCTCCCTGATCCTTGCATCTAAGATATTGGTAGTCGAAATTCACTTTTTTCAACATGCGACTTCTATTCCAATCCGATTCCTATTTCAAACGCATTCATCATTTCAATTTAGGCTATGATGGTCATTTTGTATTCGATTATTTTTACGCAGATTAGTAAGGAGTCACCCAAAAATTTTTGTAGTCTCTTTTAGTGTCCTATATATAAAGTTTGCTGTTTTTCCTGAACATCACCGGATCAGAGTGACACAACTGCAATCCCAGCGACATTTGTCCTATTCATTCAGAAGGACAGAAAAAAAAAGTGCGCCTCTTTCGGAAAAATCAAAGTGACTAGGAGCTTCTCACTTCTAATCTCCATGATATGTTGAATCCCTATTCTTAGCATTTTTTCTTTTATTTTTTCTAGGATGGGTATACTGTAGAGTTGTGTTTTAAGATAGTTGTTACATCGAAGCTATTCGGCTGTGGGATAGGAATACTGTAGAAGTTTTGTGTTTAGGAGAGGTATTACAGCGAATTTTTTTCTGTGATAGGTGTACTGTAGAATTTTTGTTGTTAGGAGGGATGTTACATCTGAATTATTTTTTCTTTGTTGTTTACTATCGAATTGTGTTATTTAGTGTTTTTATATCGAAATTATTCATAGGCGGGTAGCTATTCGAGAATCTAACACCAAAACTGTTTTCTGAGAAGCTTATCGCTTTCTTCCAATTTCCCTCGCCCCATAAGTAGCTCTCACTAGCGTCATTGCTTTCTCATCGCTGCCTACCAATCCGTAGATGTTCGTTGTTCTACGTTTATCTTTTTTTTTTTGGAAGAAGAAACATCTTCTCCTGGATTTTGTGAAGGTTCCTCCTTTGTTTTGTTTTTCGAAAGAATTTTCATTTCCTCCTTTCCCCCATCAATTCGTTGTTATTAATCAAATTTTCTCAATTTTCGAAAATGGAAAAAAGGACGTACTGGCTTCTGGAATTAGTTAGACATTCTTCTGTATGCACTTTAGCCACTTCTTTTTCTCCTTGGTATTTCGAATTTTTAAAATAATGACGTCTGTTTTTGTGTTCTTCCTCGTTGTCAAATTAATTTATTCTGGATAGGGCGTTCTTTTTCAAAATTTTGAAATTTATTGTTTACTTTTAGATTTTATTTTGAATCAAAAAGGAATTCAGAATTGGCTTGTCTTTGTTAATTCTGGTTAATTCTTCCGTGACGAAATGAGTCAAAGCCTCATCTCACTCGCCATTTTATTATCCAAGCCCTTTTTTAACATTTTCAGTTTCATATCCTATTATATTCTGACACAAAAATGCATGGCCTGCATCATATTTATCTCCTAGTTTATCACAAATCTTCTACATTTGCATGAATGTGTCACCCTTTTCTTCTTTTTCTGATTTTTTTGTTTACCTGGTAGTACACTGTTTTGGAGTTCCGAATTTCATTTTGTGCATTTCTTCGGACGCCCCAAACAGAAAACAAAATGTAAATTTCGAGTACAAATCATGTCCTGTGAACATTGCTCAAAAAGCAAAGTTTTCTCGATTAGAGGACGACAGGATGTACCGGTTAATTTTTCCTGGAGGATTTCTTGGGACCGATAGGATAGATAGGAAGTCAAGTTCCTGGTTGCTAAAATTTTTCTACACACATCAACTTTTTTTTTGCATACATCTGCTACGTAGTGGATCCTAATGTGCACCAAGGCACCGCGATTTCTTTCCAGTTGAGATTTTTCTGGTTTGATGAGTTTTGGTAGGCATTACGTAGTAGTTGGTAGCTGTCACCACACTGGAATCTTGTTCTTTTGAGTAATTGCTCATATCTTTGATGCCAATCTTTTTTTTTTCAAAAGAATGAGACCTCAGATGACCTGTTAGGCCAATTTGGCTGATATGGCTGATATGAAATTCTATGAAATCGAACATTTGTGACAATTCACTCTATTGTCAGGCGATTTTCGGGGCCGGGTAATCCTGCTAGCAATCTCTCAATAGACAAAAATCAACTCCTCATTTTGATCTACTTGCACTTGTGTTTTCATGACCAGCTCTTCCTTCGCCACCCGCGAAAAGTTGTGCTACAGTAGTTATATTTTACAGAGCTCATCCTTGACGTCTAGGATCAAATAGTCTTCTGAGAAATCTGGTCTTCCCATTTCTCTAGTTTAAGACCAAAAAAAATACGGGCGGGATGTATCATAATCAGACTAGATGTATTTCTGTAACCTATTATTATTTCTCATTGTTGTTTTTGTTTGATAAAAACACATGCTGATATTTTTTCACTTTTTTCTTTCGAAGATGTGTTTTACCTGATTCTGACACAGCCTTCCCTTCACTGAGAGTACTGTAGTTCTGTTCTTTCATTTAAGATAAAACACATTTTTCAGAATGTGTCCAATATTTTATTCATTTCTATTCTATTGTAGGACTTTGAGAGCGCCTAGACTTTTTCGCATCATTCTTCTTATTAATTTTTCAGAATGCTAGTGAGTCGGGAACAGAAGCCTAAAAAAGAAATTCCCAAAAAAATCTTTGGGATCCTTTTTGAAATCTACTTCGCTTTTTCCAAACTTTTTTCTGATCACCTAGGACCAGCTACGTAGTCACCACCCTGACTCGCTACCATGATCCCGATTTTTACGCTTTGTTTGATTTCCATTTCCAAATTTAGGGATCTAAACACACTATGTGTTTGCAAAATCAGTCATCCCGAAATTGTGTGTCATCATCATCAATGCCAAAATTTCAGAGACGGTCTAAGCACTTTGTTTTTTTTCTTCTAGCTAAACTAATCAAAAAGCGCGGCGCTCAAAATACAGAGCATATGATAGTGCTTAAACTGTTTTCAAAATTTTGACGACAGTGTTTGTGATATAGTAATCTCGATCAACTCTCCAACGATCAGTATCTATGAGTTCATCCCCCCTCCTCGATTTGATCAGTTCCTTATACGAAAACACATTTTTTTCCTCATCATCTTTATTTTTATTACAATATCATTTTATTTTATTTTATTGCCCTAACCTCCACAGAAATTCGAGTGCAAAGAAAAAAGAACGTTCGCACATTACACCTGCTAATGGGGCGGCGCGATCTTCCTAGGCTCCGCCCCCTTTTTCTCTCTTCCCAACTCCAAAAGTGGTCCTATCCTATTCATTCTGTCATGGGTTTTGTTTTGTTTTTTTTAGTTGCTATGTATTATTTACGTAAACTATCACAAGTGGTAGCCTTAATTGCAAGGTGGATATACGTGTCAATTAGTGATTCAGAGACAAAAAAAGTATCTGACATTTTCTGGTATAAAACCCCCTCTTCTCTCCTCCTCTCGACTCCGCCCACTTTCCTCTCCTCCTTCTTTATCCGTCCCCCCGTATGAATAATAATTTCTCCATTCATCCGATTACAGACAATGTTCAATTTGGAAAGGCTACTCACTATCATTTGTGTCCTTCTTTTAAACCTTGGCTATGTCACACCGACGCTTGCCGAGTTCCTTCAACTTTTAAAGAATGCAGAGGAACAGAGAATAGCATGTGAGTTTGGAAATTTTAAAATTTCAAAAATTATTTTTTTTTAATTTCAGATATAGACTGTTTTCATAGTATCACTCACACGGGGATTTTTATCTTTAATTCGGACGAAAGCATACCCTCAACCCAATGTGACGTTACTGTAGAAGTGCCAAGAGGTAGCATGGTTTACGTGCGGCCCACAGAAAGGACATGCGAGGTAATGAAGCTTAAATGTCTTCCATTGTTCCAACCCCCGAATTTTAGATGTCGTCAAGCGCGAACATCTCCACAATGTGCGACCGACCGCATCAGGAAGAGCAACTAGGCGCCGGCAGTCATCATTTCCTTTTTGATTCCACTGAATCACTGAGCATCCAAGTAATCATCACGCCGATTATCAGACTTGGTGAGTGAAAGCATCCGAAAACGAATGTGTGTGTGTGTGTGGCCTTTTATATACATCTGTGGCGTCATTAAAATCTAGGCTATAACATTTATGTTTACTAATGGTTTGCAAAAATTACAGGTTGTGGCGAATGGGCTAAAAACCTATATGAACTTGTTGGCTCTACTATTGTTATGGAGAATAGCGATAGTAGTAAGTACTGTATGGTTCAACTACCACCGTCCCTAAAAATCACATGGGTCAGCTTTGAGACGGAAAGCCGAAAAAAGCCGGTAAGTCAAGCCAGTCTAGAGATTAATGCTCATCAACCGTGTTTCAGTGTTGTCCTGATATATTTACGGCGTCCGCGGATCTGGACCAAAATCCGATATCTTACAGTGATTCATTCAACGCCTGTGATTTGCGTAAGTCTTCTTCTCCTTTTTCTTTTTTGGAGCTTGGAATTTTAAGAGCATCTCATCATCTTTTTTAAATTAAAAGAAGAGAGAAAAGTCGTTATCCGGAAACATGCCGCTAATAGGATATATTATGCTTGCCTAGTCAAAAGTGCTAATCCGTGTATAGGCTAAGTCTAGAGAAAACAAGAGAGATGATGCAAAACGGAAAGTTCATCCTAACAAAGTTAGTTTTCAGGTAATACTCGCCCATCTGTAATCACAAATTGTGAATCTACATTTATGTTTCTTCGCCAGTCGGCTCTATATGACCGTGCCTTTTTTCGAATAGAGGCACGGCCGAAGACAAATGTGACTAAATGTATTGCGTAAGTTAAAAATCATAAAATTGCAATAATTTCAATTTTTCGATTTTCAGACCTGTCATTGAGCCAGAACCATCAGACTACCTTTGCCTGAAAAAGCCGAAATCCAGCAAAAAATCAAAGTCCAAAACAAAATCGCTGTTATCCTTCTAAATTATTATTTTTAGCTATTTTCTAGCAACATAGAATAATTGGGTTGATTTTATTTTGTCATATCTTATCTTGATTTCAATTCCTTTTTGCCCTCCTGATCTCATTGTGCCTTCTTTTTGTGTGATGTTTTTCTCTCCTTTTAGAAATAGTAACTTATTGTATCTTATCAGTTTCCCTAAAGTGTTATCATACTTATCATTTAGATTCATTTTGAATCCGCTCCTTCCGTATCAGCTTGATCTGATGATTCCCATTTGTTCCTCACGGGTCCTTCCTCCATAATTTTTCGTCCCAAGTACGATTCCTCAAACATTTTTGTTCTGTTCACTGATATATTATGCTCCTCGCACCAAATCTCCGCGTATTATCTTTCTGCTGTTAATGAATTTGCATAATCTCTACACGTTTTGACACTTGCGGGCAAAAGGATTGGGCTACTAAAATAGAAACAGTGCACTTTAGAAACAGTGCAAAAGATAATGAATGGGGGATTTGGGTTTCTCCAGGCAATTAATTCATTGCTGCTAATCTTCTAGTAAAAACCACATGGCGTTTTTTGTTCCTATAGACACACTTCATATTCAATTGGATTATTTTTCAATGGGGGGAGATAACTTCGTTGAACTTCGTGCAGACGAAATGACGTGAAAAACAATGGGGCGCGAGAACAATTTGACAAGAGCAAAACGTTCAATTAGATTTCAGGTCGATTGTATAGACGTCATTGAGTGGAGCGGGACAAATCAAAACGCTGTTTGACTCACGAATAATCGAGTCAAATTTAAAAGCCACCCTCTGGCTACAACGAACATGAAAAGCAGAAACTACGACAAAAATGGTCTGGGGTTTTTTGATCTTGCAATCTGATGGGTTTACTTCACGCACACATTGACGCCGTTCTCTTCTTGAAGTCTCCGGAGTTTGAAGATTGAAAAGTTTCCAATTTGTCATGGGGAGAGACTTGAAGGGACCTGAATTTCTAATGAAATGAGCTATTGAGACCGTGGGAGTTTAGAAATCTGAATTCAAAATGATTTCGAGTTATTGTGTCGTATTCCGTGAACTAGTGAAGAAAAATGAAATCATGCGAGATAAATTTAGTGTTGATAGTTTTCATCTTGGGTGTCCTAGTAGGAATTTATTCTGAGTCACTCTCTGAAAAGAGAAACAAAAACAACAAAAACACCCAGATTTAGCAAATCCCTTCTATGTAAGTTTCCATATTTATGTTTAGCGCGAAAGTTCATAAGTTTCCGCGATCAAGCAGAAACCATTTTCTATGATTGGGACCAAACCGAGATGATTCTTTGGTTGAAACTGAAAAAACCGCATGTGGGATTTCGACGTTTTCAGAAATCATTCAAAAATTAATCCCCGTTCTGTAGGAAGGGTTTTTTAGGGATTGTAAGTTTAAGCATAAAGTGTCGAAAACCAATGGAATCGAAGTGCATGCCTAGAGAAGATTTTAGGAAAACGTGGTAGGGATCAAAAAACGTGAATAATCTTGAAATTATTTCAGAATTGAAAGGTTTCGATAAATCTAAGTCTGCCGAAAAGTTTTGAGGTGCCTGAATAGGGAAAAAATGTATTTAACAGTTAAGCCCTAACATTTTGTGAACCCAGATTTTGTTAAAAATTTCAAGATAAGTTGAAAAGGGCTATTTAGACAAATCTAAAAAATTTAGAATCTGCTGGCCAGTTTCAGCCGAGTTATATCAGCTGCAGTACCAAAAATCCCGCTGTCAGTGCAAAACAGTAAGTTTCAGAAACGATTCTTTTTAATTCTAGAACGTTTCAAAACATAAAACTTATGATGTGGTACTTAAATTGAACGAAATTTCAAATTATAGACAGTTCCTCACAAAAGTTTTAAACCAATTTTTTGAATTTTTCAGCCATTTTTTTGAACATTTTTCATATTCTGAAACGTTCTAGAAATCGAGAAATTGTACTTGAAAATTGAAAAGCGTTTTTTTTGCGTTAAAAATGCAATTTTTGGTACTGCAACTGATATGACTCAGCTGAAACTGGCGTGCGGATTCTAAATTTTTCAATAGTCTTGAGATAACCTATTCCCAACCAATCCTGTGCTTTTTGTCGAAATCTGGGTGTACAAGGCGTTCAGGTTTTCTTGTTATCTGTTACCGAAAAAAATTTCTAGATACCTGATTCAAAAAAATTTACATTTCTTGAAAAACTCTTTTCCAAAACCTTGAAAATTCAAAAAAGTCCGTGTATATTTAAATATTTAGTCCATAAAGTTTTCTATCAAGTCCATATCCGAATTTATCACCAGAATTTCAATTTTTCAGCAAAACATTTTTTTTCAAAAAATATGCATCCATCTGAATCAGTTTCTATTTTCCTCTGCACTTTGTTGACAGGTATTTATGTTTACTGAATGAGAAAAATATGAGGAACTAACTTTCTAATGTCAGTAGAATATGAAAATTTCATTGAGTCACGTTAAAAAAATGAATGGTGTCATCCGGAAACAAAAATACCAATGGAACGGCTTCCGATTTTTTGAAAATTCAAGACCTCCATTTTCGATTCCCAGAGAAATGCATCGGAACTAAAAAAACTACCGTACACCTCACGTCACTTTAAAAATAGTTTATGCCTCAATTCTGTTTTCCACCGTTTTTGCTTTCCAATTTTCGAATTTCTAGAACATTTGAAGAAACAAACACCCATTATCCAAATGACCATTGTTAGACAATGGAATGACGACCATTGTCCAAGTTTAATAATCTATCATTATGCAGAAGTCACACTATCCCACGTTCTCCAGCTAACGTCAATTGTGTAATTGGAATGTTTTCGATACATCAGGAAAAAAGTTCAACTATTGAACAGCTTCTGATTTGTCTTAATCCTCTGATAAAACACTTAAAAGTCTGGTGTTGGGGATCGAACGTTACTGATGAGCAATTGTCCTAATTTCATTTTCTGCCCACCACACGATGGTCACCCCGGAAAATTCGTCAAGACTGGCTGGCCCATTCGGAAAAACAAGCCTTGAAATAGAATTGCCTCCAAAATAGCTAATTAATTTGTGAATGTGAATAGCCATTCCGAGAATTGCATCTTTTTAGGGTCTCATAAAACACACGTCTATCGTCATCCTTATTAATATCATTCGTAGCTTAAAAAGGCTAATAGGACAGACGAAAGGGTTTTCTTTTAAATTTTTGCTACTAACTACAAATTCCAAACGTCAAAAGATTGCAAGTTGATTGAAATCCCTCGTCCAAAAAGCTTTTCTACATTTTGGGAAAAAAAGAACGGGGTTTAATGAAAAAGAGAGAAGCGTCACTTATCGCCACCATCTATGGAATCTCTCTGCACCGCAGTGCGGTCAAGAATGAATGAATGACCTGCAAATTTATGGGTTGGTGAGAGGAGGATGAGATCTGTTTTTTGACACAATTCTCAAATGTAAATGGAAATGTGGAGAGTTAGAATAGGAAGTAAAATCAAATAACACTATTCTTCATTGTTGGAAGCTTATACTGTATTTCTTTCAATAGAAGGTTTCCCAAACCGCCCACTTTAAGCTCAACTATCTTGCTTTTCGTATGAGATATGAAAAATATGTCAATTGGTAAAATATTCGTGATATTATGATACATAATTTATCAGTTGACCAATTTTTGATACCTTTCGCAGAATCCTAGATAATCGAGCTCAAAGTTGACCGTTTGGGTGGGCTTCTATTAGATAGAGGAAATAGGAAAAATTAGGTTTTATGATCTTCAAAAAGGTTTTCTTAAGGTCAAAAATTTTGAAATCGTTCATAAAGTAACTGAAAAAAATGTTGAACCCATCGATTTCAGAAGCATCCACAATGTAAACAAGAACATTAGAAAAATTTTTAAAAATTTTAAAAATTCTGAAAGAGGTCCTGTTCCCATGGAAACTAGAAAACAATAAAATGGAATGCGATCCACTGAAGATAACCCAAAATTTGAGTTCCCCATTTTTCCTTTATCAGCAGATTTTCAAAAAAATGTACTGAAAGAAGCATTCTCCAATTGATTCTAAATTTCTAAAAATCCAGTCACCAAGCTTATGAAAGACTACTTCAACTACACCGTTCAGGAACATTCTGGCGTCTTTTAATTCTTCAAAGTGTTCTACATGTTGCAAAAATAATTAAATTTGCACCTCTCTCTCAAAGCGTTTTTTTTCTTCTCACCAAGTTTTGATGACTGCTGTTGCGGGGCTAAAGTGATGGATCATGTGGCACTCATGTTACACATGAGCTAAGGGACCAACAGCATTTCTTCAACTGATACGGGCCGCCAACATGATATCTTCATATACTCTTTTTCTGATTTTTCCTCATTTACCTCTTCCAAACCAAACATCATATTGTTTGCTTGTTCTCGAAATTTAGATGTACACATTTATCTTAGTCTGCTCCAGAAAGTTTACCACATGTTGTGTTGGGCAGAACAATTTTTTTATGAGACAGGAGTGGTGTCGTAAAACAAAAAGCTCAATGGCTACTATCGTACACTCCCCTTGTGTTCATTATCCGTGTTTTTATTTGCTTTCAAGAAAGAAGAATTGAATAGATCATCATTCAGTTTGGAATGTGATGTTCCACACATTTACGTGGTTGTGTTTGGTTCGTGAAGAACAAGAATCCTACACAGGCTTTAGGAGTAGTGACGGGCCTCGTAAGATCTCATCAGCCCCTCATTTTCGAAGCGCGATGAAAAACTTAAGATAGTAGCTGCAATCGCCTCGAGGCTGTTTGTCCGAAATCTAGACCGTGGTATACAGTTTTTTCAACACCCCGCCACTCAAATGTCGCCACCAACGCTTGCCGTGTCCGAAATCCAATTAACTAGGGGGTATATTTATGTTTGGTGTGTAACAGTTTTGGCTTTTGGCCAGTTTTTCAAGTTTCTCAAGTTTGTCTCGTTTTATGAACATTTTGAATCGAGGATTACTGTAATCATAAATTTCATTAGTTTTTTTCAAGAATT